GAATAGGAGGGAGTAATTTATTTCACTATACAATATCTTTCAGTTCGCTGACCAGTAATCAAGACAAGAAGGCACACATCATTAATAGAGCAGGTTTGGTATATTGGAAATTAAAGAAAGTTAATTCTTTTATGCGTAAAATAAAATACTCATATAGGTATAATTCATTATGTATTTTTCATCAAGTCGAATATTTATACGGCATTAGTTTGTTAAAATCAAACCAATTTGTTATGTCATGTCCGTCCTGGGGTTCGAAAGTAAGAAGATTTGTACTTCAGGTTTTGCTTAAAAGAAAAAGACAGAAAAAGATGAGAAAGGCAAAATCTCCCCATTTACACACATAGAACAAATGAGAAGACTTATATATTTATATCCAATACTAGTATGTAGGGTTTAGATTTTTCACTTTTTTTTTAATTAAAAAAATACGGAAAGTGGTTTTGGCTACAATTTAATTAGTGAATGAAAGCCGGAGGTTTCGATTGGACCATGCCAATTAAAAGAAAGCCATACTTCAATTCTGTTTGTGGGTGGGGGGAAGGGGAAAAAAAAAAATTACCCACCCGAGTACGGGTTCACTGTATTTGAAATCGACCATTCATGTGTCCTCTGTTATATAACGCACAGCAAAACTCGAACCAACACACCATGGGAAGTGCCTCCATGTTAGCCTCGGTAGCAATGAGAAGGTAAGCAAAAATTATAACTTCATCCATCAATTAATGGAACTCAACTTGCCAATATGTTTCAAGTTTTGATATGTATCCTTGCAAGTAAAATCATTCATCACTTTCATGCTTGAAGGTAAGGTGGCTCTGATCACCGGCGGCGCAAGCGGTATTGGTGAGTCTGCTGTAAAGCTCTTCTCGCAGCACGGAGCGAAAGTGGCGATCACCGATATCCAAGATGAGTTGGGTCACTCAGTTTCCAAGAGCATCACAGATTCTTCATATTCTTCCTCCTCTTCTTCTGCTACCTACGTCCATTGCGACGTGACGAAGGAGAAGGACATCGAAAACGCAGTGGAAACTGCGGTTTCGAAGTACGGCAAGCTTGACATCATATTCAGCATCGCTGGTATTGTCGGTGATAACAAAACTAACATCCCCGAGCACCACAAATCCGAATTCGAGGAAGTCGTTAACGTGCATCTCATCGGTGTTTCTGGGGACCAAGCACGCTGCGAGGGTGATGGTACCTATCAATTTCAAGTTAGGGTGATGGTACAAATCCTTAAATGCATCCTCAGTGAGCTCTGAGCTAGGATCCTCAGATGAAAAGTTTTCATGCCTATAACAGGAAAATCTCCATTTCTAGAATGGAGTGATAATTGAAGTTAGGCTAATGGAAAGAAGGCAAAATAAACCCTAGCATATCAATTTCACGCAGTAGCTAATCATATGTTTTCCTCAATAAGACGATTCTTAATCAAATGCACAGATTAGATGCTCAGAGATATTAGTAGAAAAGGGTGCGAACAAAAGAAATTGTACATAACAAATGCAATGAAGTTAGGTACTTTGTATTTTGTGTCATAGACACTGAATTTAACAACTCTTAAATTAACTGCCATAGTGCCGTGCCTTGGTACATTCCCACCTTTCAAAAAAGGTCCAATAAACATCACAAGATTAAATGAAGTGAAAGACAGGATCCCTTAGCCTTACGAATAATAATGTATTATTGCCCTTGTAGATTATGATTTCTTTTGTTATCGACTAAATAGAGTGGATGCTAATGATTGAAATCCTAACCTTGGCTTCCTTTTAACCAATCCTGTAACCTCAAAATAGGCAACTAATCACCATTATTTTCTTTTCTCCATGACTCTAGTGCAGATTACATTATTTACTGGGTTTCTTGTCTCATGCTGTATGTCTGTCCTGCCCTGTAATTTTGTGATCTACTGCAATTGTGGACTTCATAGTATTTGACCACACAACAACAAAATCTGCCGCAGTCAATGACAGTAAATGCCAAGTCTTCTCTACCCTAAGGAGCCTATGCTGAAGATGGCGAGCATGAACACTACCAAGCACATATTGACATATATAAGATATGAGGCTAGCCCATGGCTTTGTCTTGCTAAATTTTAAAGGTTAACTCAAAATTTAAGGTCAAAGGTGAACCAAGTTAAGCAAGCTCAAGTTTTGAGTATGCTGGTAAGTGCAGATTTATGAAGCATCAAACAGAAGTAAATCAGCACTCAATGTATAAAGGTTGACTTCTCATTAAAATGATAGCAATAGCATTATCTTTCATATCCCCACCCCACCGCTCCAAATGAGGTTTGCCGGCCATTGATAACACATGCTTAGTTTTATTGAAGCAGTTTGAAGATCCAAATCATATCTGTTACTCGATATCAGGTCAAGCTGAGAATTTCAGCTGGAGGGTTTGATTTGGTGAATAGAATAGAATAAAATTGAATTAAAAAAAAAAAAAGTGATGTTTTTATGCAAAACGTCTTTTATGCCCCTTCGCAAATGGGTTAATGTTGAAGAGCACTTGGGCTATCATTGCAAAACTGATATCACATTATATGTTCCTACTTCAAAGCGCCCCTGAATACTAAGATCTAATTTTGTTTATGGTTAAACAGACACACCCAGTGGTAACAATCTGCCACGACGACTTAATAGTCTAACACTCTATAGACATTGTGATATGTATTCGTAATTGGATACAAGAAATCTACAAAGCAGACACTGCTCCCTTACTGATATCTGCTAGTTTTGTTTCTTATTATGTGCGCACGGCAGAAGGCCGATGCCAATAAAGGTAGGTGAAAGATTCGATATTGAAACTTTCCGCTCTATAGCATTGAAGAACACCATTATTTCCTGATAATCTCCATTTATTCCTTCTTTTAATAACCCTTAATTCTCCAAGCAGCCAAAGAACAATATTCAAATTCAATTAATGCATAGGCAGACACAAATAGACCGAAATCTTACGCTAATTGGAAACCTGGATTGAAATCGAAGATGAGGGGAGGTCCAGTTAAGCGATAGCCGGACTAAGGGACGCTTCAGAAGCGAAAGCCTAGAGTAGAAGGGCAGGAAAAGAGAGGCGGAAGGAAGAGAGGATGAACGGCAACAGACGGCGGTAGGCATAGCTGCAACACCGGATCAGCTACAATCCGGAGATTGAATTGGGCTGGACGCTTGAGAGAGTTGTTTACTCTTCTTCGATTCGGATAACACGCGCTTTCTGTCTCGCATCAGAAGAAGAAGAAGGACCTGGGGTGATTGGAGATCGAATGAAAACGTACAGAGAACGAGGCAAGTGGGAGTCAGGGAGTGGGGGGGTATGTGACTGCTTGTAATTTCCTCAAAATAAAACTGACCTCGTCAATTTTCTTCGCTTCCCCAAGAGTTTCGCTGAAAAATTGATGTCTTCATAATCCCAAACTCTCACAAATACCTTTTCACGCGAATTTATCAACCTCGTAAAAAGGAAAAGATAAGTGATTACTAACAAAAACTGGCAACCAGGGGTAAAAAAAACAAGAACAAGAAAATAACATGATTAAGTGACCAACAAAAATTAATTCACAATCAATTTATAATCAAGTACAAAACAACCTTACCTTCTGGCCGGGGAAAAAAACAAATCTTCAACTCCTGTTCCGCCACTCCTTAATTAAAACAGAAAAAGTAAATTTATATTGGATAGAAAACAGTCATTGTGTTTGGATTTTGCAAATAATAAAAAATATATTAAAAACAAATTTTGGTATTACAATGATAAGAAACATTGGGTACTAGATAGTTATAATAAAAAAATTTTAATGCTGAAAATTCTTTTTTATATGGAACACATTGGGAATGTTTGGAAAAGAACAAGAATAATGGAATAAAACACGGGACAAGCGAAATGCACAGAGAGGGTGATTACGCACCTACAATTGTCTTAGATTGAAGTAGCATCAATACTAACTAACTAATTAGGAGGTGTAATTCTATAAGTTCATTTATTGTTCTACAGTAGGTTAGCTAAAATGACTTAAGAAGTAATACACTACGCTGCACCAAAAGCAGGCATGCCTTCAAGAAATGAATTAATTTTCTTTATTTTTGACAAAGAAATTAATTAATGTTATCTTTGAAAAACAAAAGAAAGATAAAAATAGTGACTTGGAAAGAGAAAGCATAACCACAACACCTTACTCTGTCCTGAATGCAAGAACAGAGGATCTGCCACCCTGAGACATGAACCATAGAAACACATTAGTTCTGTCTTCCCTTGTTCGAACAGCTACGTTGTTTTCAATCCATAATTTCGAATATATAGTGTAATGAAGTAGGCGTAAATTCAAGCAGAAGAAGAGAAGAACAAGTAAAGAGTAAATCAAACAAATTACCTGATTCCAAATGCCGGTGGCTAATGAGATGGATATATCACAATCTGTCTCACATATAAAATGACAGAACCCGCCGCTGTGCCTTCTTTCAATTCATGTACACTGCTATATGTGTTTTCAATTCAGTTGTTTGGTACTCCTCCTCTTTTTAACATAAGACTCATTTAACTATTTTGATTAAATAAAATTAGACAAGTAAGTTAATTATAAGAAATATGACATATTTTTTTCTAAAACACCATAATCATTTTTCTTGATATTCTTCCCGTTCTTCTACTAGATTATGATTTGAGGGAATATCCATAAAGTTAATTTAAAAAAAATTGATAAATATGAGAAATAGATCTTACATTCATAATTAAAATCAATTCAATAATTACGTTCTACGGAGGAGTATCATAATAATAATATCCTATGAACATGGACTACAATGATTATCATTGTTTGATCCCATAATCATAACACAATGATTATCATTGTTTGATCCCATAATCATAACACAATAAAACAAACAGTACAAAACAATACACAGCATCTCAGAGCCCAACATGTGCTCTAACGTTCAATTATTTTAGTAATTACTAATTACTTGAACATTGCAATCAGTTTATCTTGGTCTTTCAGCAAACTCTTAACCCATCATGTCACCTGCTCTACATGTAGCCCCGCCACTGAGCTTGAAGATGTTCACTGTAGCTTCTCCTGCAAAATGCGAGCAACAAAAGTAGCTCGATGTTAAGGAAAATAGAAAAATAATAATTACATTTTTATGACAGATAGAGAAACTAGAAGTTAAAATTAAAAGAACGAAGGCGTTTTATGATTAATTTGTTATGCTATAGAACCTTTCACTAGCGGTGGGCTATAGATACTTATTTTCATAACATAATAATTATGCACAACATGAATTTGACATTGTCCTTATAATTGTAGTTAAATGTCATAAATACTTTACTCCCAGACGTAAATTTTTGAGTTTTTTTTTTGGGGCGTTATTACACCAGCACAATGAATTTTAAGTTGATTTAACCGCTTAATGATAATAAAAACGGTAAGCTTGACCAGTTGTTTATAAGATATAATACTAAATAATTATAAGTGGAGTTAAATATTAAATGCATAGAAATTAAATTTAAAAGCACAGATATGTAGAGTAGAAACTAATTAATAGTAGGTATGAAAAACCTATTAAAGCAAGAGTTGATATGAGCAGAAAGTATTACCAGATAACCTCTGAGCCACCTATTGCACTTTGTCACATTTATTACAACCATAACATAGATAGAATCAGTCAAATTGTTGAGAAACTTGAAGTACGTGTGCCTCCAGGAGCGATTAAAAAGTATTGGCCCAAAAATTCCCCAAAATCCAACAACAAATCCAAACCCCATGCTGCAATAAAACTCCTTAGAAAGAATTGAATCATTATTTTCTTGGAGCTTAACTGATTCTTGAGGTTCTTCCTCCCCAGGACACTTTATCTCGAGTGGTTCTCCACATAGGCCAAGATTTTCTTCATAACTTGAGTTATCAAAACTTTGTAATTGTGTGCTAGTTGGAATTTTTCCAGAAAGGTTATTAGATGACAAGTCTAACACTTCAAGATAATTAAGCTGAGCAAAACTAGAAGGAATTGAACCAAAGAGATGGTTTTTGGACAAATCAAGAGACTCTAATGATGTTAAACGTCCAATCTCAGAAGGAATTTCTCCATCTAATTGATTTCTTGATAAATTTAATGATATTAGCTCAACTAACATTCCCAGCTCTCGTGGAATTTTTCCACTTAACTTGTTGCTTGAAAGATCAAAGCCTCTAACTGATGTGCTATGCTTGAATATACGTTCTTGGTGTTTCCACATCAGCATTGCAATTGGATCAATTTCAAAAGAAACTCTTCTATAAGGAGAAGAAAAATAACCCAAAAAAGCACCATCATAATGTGCACTGTCGAGAGCCATTTGTGTGAATTTTTTGAAGCATTTGGGGATTTGTCCAGATAGAATGTTCAAAGAGAGGTCCAAAAATTGAAGGGTTGATAAATAACAAAGATGAGTTGACAAGCTTCCAGAAATGTTATTATTTCGTAAGATTAAAATTTCCAAATTTTGCAATCCATCATTATTCCCAATCTGTGAAGGTATATATCCAGAGAACTTGTTTTCCGCCGCATCAAGAACTACTAAATTTGAGCAATTACTCAAATTAATGAGCAACTCTCCGGTAAACCCATTGTTTCTCAAGATTAAGACTTCAAGATTTTGTAGAGAACCAACAGAAATAGGAAGTTCTCCAGAGAAATTGTTGTTACTCAAGCCTAAAAACCTCAATGATTTGAAAGGACTCCAACAATTAGAAAGCTGTCCATATAATTGATTATCAGAAAGGTCTAATACCTGCAATGTTTTACTTGACATGTTTGCACACAAAAATGTGTGAAGTTTTGAAAAACTATTATTTGACACAAAAAGGGCCATTGCATTTTGTAGAAATTTTGGAAGTGAGCCTTCAAAGTGATTCGAAGCTAGAGATATAGCAGGGAATTCACCGAATTCAATGGCAAGATTTGGCAATGTACCAGAAATGTTGTTGCATGAAACATTCAAGTATTGAAGCTGTGGTGTCAACAAACCCCAAAACCACTCTGGAATAGTGCCTGAAATTCCATTATTTGAAATGTCAAGTTCCGTGAAATTATTTTGAGTTTGCAACCATTTCGGAAAATCAGGACCTAGCTTGCATGACCGCACATGGATGGCTTGTAATTGAAATGGCGGGACCCAATCATGACTAAATCTCAAAGTCAATGAGTTATCAGATAGGTCTAAAACCTTCATGTTGTGCAAATTGGCAAGATTTGAGTTTGTGAGAGTGCCTTTTAAGGAGTTGAAACTAATATGCAAAGACACCAGTGAAGAGGGAAATTGATAATCTTTGGGTATTGTCCCATTCAACAAGTTCCTTGAAATGTCAAGATTCTTTAAAGATGAGAATGTGGAAAGGTTTACCAGTGTGCCGGTGATTTCGTTATAACTAAGGTCTAGATTCTCAAGAGAATTCAAGGTACTAGAAAATTCATAAGGGATTGGACCTTTCAAGTTGTTCTCGTCAAGACTAAGATCAAGCAAGTTGGTGCTGATATTTAAGATCCAATGGAATATTGCAGATGACTGGAAATCATTCCCGCTGAAATCTAATTTAGAAAGAGAGGAAGAGGAATTGAATTTTAACGAGGGTAAGGAGAGGATATGCTCATCTGAAAGATCATTGTACATTATAGTTAGCTCTTTCAAGTTGGGCAGCTTTGCAATCATTTGCAACCACTTGTGAGAATATTTAAGATCAGTCACATTTGCCAGCTCTAGACGGGTCAAAGAAGTAAGACTAGACAGCCACTCATGTCCAGCACCACCATTTTCTCTATCAATCTGGAGAGTACCTGCAAAGCGTAGAAGAAGATTCTGCAAGTTGGAAAGGTTCCCAAGTTGATAAGGTATTACTCCGCTAAGAGTATTATCTGAGAGATCAAGATGCTGCAATTGTGAGAGATTTCCAAGTTGACGAGGTATTGCTCCTCCAAGAAGGTAATTGCCTGAGAGATCAAGATACCTCAACTGCGAGAGATTTGCAAGCTGATGAGGTATGGCTCCACTTAAACCGCAATTGTGGAGATCAAGGTATCTTAAGTGTGTTAGAGAGGTAAGGAATTCCGGGATGGAGCTATCTTCAAAACAATTGGAACTAAGGTTCAAATACATCAAGTATTGTAACTCCACCAATGATGCATCAATCTCACCTTTTAAGAGGAATAGTGGAAAATCAGCAGGAAGATGGAGCTTGGTGATATGGCCAGTTTGGTTGTCGCAGAAAACTCCCTCCCATTCACAGCAATCTGTCTTGTGCTGTTTGCTACCCCATGAAGACCATCTGACAAGGGAAGAACCATTCCCATGAGCAGCCTTAAAGCGAAGTAAGGCTTCCCTCTCCTTCTCTATGCATTGAACCTCATCAGCACCCACAGCTCTCCAAACCTCAAACACTGTCATAGCTAACACCAGCAATTTCAAAAAACCCATCCACATAATCCCCATTTCTTTCGCAAGTGTATCTCTACTGAGTTGATAATATGCTAGACACATTACTGATGAATCTATTAGCTAGTATTTATAGAGATAATTGCTGATCCCTCTTAATGTGATCATTTTGACTCTAATTTAGTTTCCACACGGCAAAGAGTGGTAGGTATTTGCGTCCCGGCAAGCTTTACTCTCTATCATCTGCATGCTCTCTAATTTCCAATTAATGCAATTACGTGGAAAGCTCCATTCAACTACTTTAAGAAAATAATCATGTTGAACAAAAAATTTTCTCTGAAAAACAGAAAGGATTCAAGAAAAACGAAAAAAATCATTGAAGAAAAACAGTACTTGTCGTCAAGAAATACCTTGCTCTGTTCATTTCATAAGGGAGACCTTAAAGATCGTTTACTGAAGAAAATTCAACCAAAGGAAAAAAATATCATTTAGAAAAACAAAAGAAATTATTGATAATGCCGGACACAGTACTGACTTGCTGCTGTTACGATCTGTTAGAATGTATAGACATAACTGTTGAGAGTGTGTAATTTTTATATAATTAAATTAATTAACTTGTTTTTGCACGTTCTAATTAATATGCAATCTTTCATTTTCCTGTCAATCATATACATACCGGGGCTTTTCTCATCTATTATTTTCACTCTATTTAATAACTTGTTTCAAAAAAAAAAAAAAGGCAAAGAAAAGTATAATCTGATCCCACATAATGAATGCCCCAAGCTCCGCGGTCAATATTCAACAACTATCATTTTCACTCTTATTTTCTAATTTCCACATGACAGAGAAAAGTATGCATTTCCGTCCCCAGCTTTGAGAATCACTATCACCTGCGCTCTAATTCCAAATGTGCAGTTTCCTGGAAAGCTCCGTTCAACGACTATAAATAAATTCTCTTCAATATATAACAAAATATTTTCTATGAGATCTTAAAGCAAAAAACGAAATACAAAGGATAATATTCAAGAAAAACGAAAAAAAAATTCATTGAAAAATATAGTACTTATCTCAGCAGTAAGTAGCTCGGCCAATTGGTCTTAGAGGGAGATCTTCAGAAGTTTACTGAAGAAAATTCACCCAAAGAGAAAAAATCACAAAACAAAAAGGAAAGGATTGATATATAACAGCTCACTAATTAATTCACTACCAAAAAAATCTGATTAGCGACGGAATTTACCGACAGAATTTTTATTTAACAACGAATTAGCGACGGAATCAAATTACTGATGGAATTAGTGACGGAATTGGTTCCGTCGCTAATTTTTTCGTCACTAATTGGATTACCGACTAAATTGAAATTCTGTCGCTAATTATTGATGGAATTTTTTCGTCTCTAATTACCGATGGAATTTAATTCCGTTGCTAATATATCTTTTTAAAAAAAATTAAAATGCCACCTCACCTTGGCCGTCACATGTCACCACCTCGTCTCCACATGTCGATGCCACCTTACCTCTGCCACCATGTGTTGCTATCTCACATGCTACCTTGTATTGCTACATGTCGCCACCCATATAATTCCTCCTTAAAGTGACTTCTCCACGGCTCAAACCAAAGACCTCATTTGTAAGCTGCAATGAATTTACCGACTTATTATGCAAAATTATATACATATAATATTCTCTCACACAAATAATTATATATACACATATATATTATTAGAAACTAAAAATAAACTATATGATAATTTTAATCATAACTATTTTTGTAACAAAATAATTTTTAGATATTTGTTTTACTATTTATTTTATAATGCTTTATTTTTTTAAAAATTATTTTAAATATAATATTAATTTCCAATGACACTAATTTTGAATTTTAAATAGTAAATAATTTTTCATAAATTTATTTTTTAAATTTAATTCTTTTATTTAATATTCATAATATATATAATTTAATTATATATTTATTATATTATTATATTATATTATATTAAATATTATATTTTAGCCATAGTATTAGTCACGGAAATTAGCGACAAAATAATTTTCTGTCGCTAATTCCGTGGCTAAATTAGCCACAGAAAATTCAATCGATCCCGGGTTTTCTTCTTTTTTTTCTTGTGAAATAACGGGTATAAATGATTTTTTTACCATAAAAAAATGAAAGCTTGTCTTTCCCCCCTTTTTATAGAGTCTAGATGCAAATCGTAATTATAAAATTTTACTCACGGAATTAGTCACGGAATTTTCTAAAGGAAAAAAATTTCGTGGCTAATTTTAATTATAAAATTTTAGATACGGAATTAGTCACAGAAAAAATTTCATAACTAATTCCGTCGGTAATTAACTGTTTTTAGTGATTATTTCCTTGAAATTTGTTGACGTGTTTAAATTAAATAATTTATACTCCCGTCAACACGACAAGCTCCTCCGCGTTATCATGATATTGAGGGGGGAAAAAGTACAGTGACATAATTAAAAATAGTTGGATGTCTGAAAAATATTTTCTTTCTTACTTTTTATGTCCATCGTTAAACACAGTTAAATTGTAGTCTATCATTGGATAAAAGATGGAAAGTATATAGGAATTAGTTTTAAGTTAAAATGATTTGAAAATATTCTGAGTTCACACACAAAAAAAAGAATGAGAGTACTCATGGGTTTTTGAAAAAAGATGGCAGCAAATATTAAACTATGTAATATTCTTTTATACTTGATAAAAAAATATTAGCAAATTGTTTCTTTTATACACACACACACATGAAATAACGGAAGAGGGCTAGAATAGTGGAAAACAAACCCCTTTGGTAAATATTTTAGACTACTAAGTACACTAAAATTTTTTTTAAAGATACTGAATGCTATTTAAAAAATATTTTAGTCGGCTGAATGATCTTGAATAAAAAAATAAAAAAACTCATGACCCCCATTTTACCCCAAAAGCTTGTGGCGACTGGTGTCAAGGTAAAAGAGGCAGGGATCGCAACCAACAAGGAGCGAAGACTAAGTTCATTAAAAACGCTCTCAAGACATTAGATGACGTGTGGTGAGGGGTCAAGATATTATTCTCGGATAAAATGAAATATATATGCACTTTTTCAGTTATAAATATAAGATCTATTTTGTAATATAATTTATATTATAAAATAAATCTTATATTTAATATTGGAGAAGTATGATCTGTTACCAAAATGAATTAAAATTTTCTTTAAAATATATCAATTTCAGTCTATTAATTTGTTAACAAATTATGAAAAAAATTGAAGAAATGTCAAAACAAAAATATGCACATAACTCAGGAAATTTTTCACAGGTGAGAATGAAAGAAAAAATAATATCAAGAAAAAGCAAACAATTGATTAGAAAAATAGTGACAGTCAGGAAACAGTTGTTTGGAAAATACTACTTTGAAAATAAATATCTAAATCGATAATGTTGGGGATAACTGTTGAGAGCATGTAATTCTTTAGACGATTAAGTTAAATTATTTCCAGAAAATATAATAATCTTGACTCGGATCGGAAGACATTTTGGGGCAATATAGTCTCAACCATTATACATGATTTTCACCCTATTCAAAAGCTTGCTTAATGGCGAAGGATGGTGATTCAACAACACAACCATTTTCGCTCTGATTTAGTTTCCATATGACAAAGAAAAGTATGTAGTTTCGTGGAACAAAAACATTAACTATTTCCTAGCAGTTTGTTGACGTGTTTAAATATAATTAAATCAAATCAGCAGTAAGTACCTTGGCCAATTGGACTTACGAGGGAGATCTTGAAAAGTTTACTGAAGAAAATTCACCCAAAGAAAAAACATCACAAAACAAAAAGGAAAGGATTGATATGTAACAACTCACTAATTAATTATTTCCTAGAAATTTGTTGCCCTGTTTAAATTAAATAATTTATACTCCCGTCAGCACGCCTAGTTCCTTCTTTGGCCTACGCAGGGTCAAAATTCAAATAACTGATTTTTCAAGAAGAAGCTTAACGGCCATCTTAATTACATCCGTCGTTTTCACTCTAAATTCAAATTAATGACACGTGGTGGGAACAAGATAATAAGTCAAAAATCGAATAGTACTAATACAATATCAAATCATCCACATGAAGTTTTCTAAAAGGTATGTCAACTTTTAATTTTCAGATTTTTAAAAGAGTTAATGAAAAATTGAAAAAAAAAAAAAGAACAAGAAAACAGGCACATCGAGATCAAGTATCGTGGGCCGTAATGGGCTCTCCATCAAGCCCATGATACAGCCCAACGTCTGATGCTTCTTTAGTCAAACTTAAACCGCCTCATTAAATTATGGAAGGGTGGGAGAGCGTTGTGGTACTGGACATGACCCCCTTCATTAAATTGCAGGAAAGGGACTTCATTAACTTCAATCCCTCTCTTCCTCACTCTATTTTTTTTTAATCTCTAATTAGAAACTCAAATTATGTGCTTTCAAGTAGTGAATGGCTTAATTGTCGCCACTAGTGGACAAAAATGCATTATCCTAAGAAACCTTATACCCAATACGAGTAATCTTGTTTTTAATAATTCCTCAAGAAAAACGCGGTGAGCCTGTCAATCATATTCACACCCGGACTTTTCTCAACTATGATTTTCACTCTGTTAAGCTAAGTTGTTTGAGAAAATGGGAAGAAATTAAAAGCATAACCTGATCCCACATAATGAATAGCCCGAGCTCCACGGTCAATATTCAATAACAACTATCATTTTCACCTGCACTCTAATTTCAAATATGCAACTTCGCGGAAAGCTCCTTCCAATATGAGGAACAAAAAATTTTCTATGACACCTAGCTAAAAGCAGACAACAAGACCTTGGGGTCTTTACCGAAGAAAATTCAACCAAAAGAATTAATGCAGGCATCTCAAGTGGCTCAGTTGGAAAATGGCAAAGAAAAGTATAATATGATCTGTCATAATGAATGGCCCAAGCTCCATCATGGTCAACATCCAATAACTATCATTTTCACTCTAATTTCCAATCAATCTACAACACGCCAAAGAAACCCAAGCTTCAAGTTAGAACTATCAT